TGTGGGGTGACCTCCAATTCCACCATCCAAGCCCTTTGAGTGAATATCCCATCAGTCATGCACACCCTAGTCTAAATGAGCAGAGAAGCCCTTTTCTCCCTCTGGGCGTCTTGAAGATCTGGAGGCTTTGAGGAAGGGCCTGATGGGGCAGTTTGGCTGTTGGGTTAGGATTTAGGGGGCAGGTAAAGTCCTTAAGCTGCCCACCTTTTGGGGACATTTTGCCCCACTTGTCCATCCTGTTTATCTTGTTTTATTCCTTGATGAAAAATCTGACATTAGGAAAAGATTTTCCATCTGCCACTGACCACTTAGAGAAAACTAGCCTGTGTGTCCACTTTCTCCTGGAGTCTGTGTGTGCTCCATGTATGCCCTGTGGGGTATCATATAAAAACTGGTTCCTGGTGAAGGTGGCGTCTGAGGGTCTACCAGTCAGGTGAGCCCTGGCAGGAGTGGTGAGTGCCGTGGTGGAGAGCACAGGGGCTCTGTCTGAGCTCCCCGGACGGACGTGGAAAGTGAGGGAAACCCAGGGGCTGGGATAAACCTCCTCTCTCTCCCCCTCTCCCTCCGCTTTTCCCTCCCAGGATGGAGCTAAGTCCCGACCTCATCTCAGCCTGCCTGGCCCTGGAAAAGTACCTGGACAACCCCAACGCCCTCACTGAGCGGGAGCTGGTACGCGGGCCCCCAGGACTGGGAGGGCCCTCCTTCCGTGCTCCCTGGCTTCTCCTCGTCCGCAGGGCCTCCCTGTGCCAGCCTCAGGGGGCGTGTGCTTGAGTCATGGGCCTTAGAGAGGGGCAGGGAGGTGGGGAGGGGCCCGAGGATGATCGCCCGCTGGCAAAGCCGGCCTTGGTTCCTGGTCCTTCGGGAGCTTGAGGGGAGGGGCTGGCATATCTCCCTCCACTGGTTCCACACGTGCCTTGAAGGTCATACCCCGGATGGAGATGCTCACAGCTTCCTGGGGGCAGACCTGGGATTGCAGTGTCTCCACTTCCCTCTAGGGTCCTTGTCCAGGAGGGGAGACAACACTCCTCCAGGGGCTCGTCTGGGTGGGGTGCCCATGCTCCCCTTTCAAGGCTCCGGTTCAGGACAGGGACACCCACACTCCCCTCCGGGGGCTTAGCCCTGGGGACGTGGGCTGCCGCCCACCCTCATCCCCTCTCCTCTCCGGCTGCAGAAAGTGGCCTACACCACGGTGCTGCAGGAGTGGCTGCGCCTGGCCTGCCGCAGCGACGCCCACCCGGAGCTCGTGCGGCGCCACCTGGTCACGTTCCGGGCCATGTCATCGCGGCTGCTGGACTATGTGGTCAACATTGCCGACAGCAACGGCAACACCGCGCTGCACTACTCTGTGTCCCACGCCAACTTCCCGGTTGTGCGGCAGCTGCTGGACAGCGGTAAGCCTGGCCAGCTGTCACCCCGGTTTGGTGGTCTGGTTGGGGAGACATGGCCCCCTAGTCTAGTGGGGGAGACACTGCCCTCCCACTCTGGGGGGGAGATGCAGGCCCACCTGTCGCCTCAGTATTCTGGAAAGGGCAGCCATGGTTTTTGGGAAAACACATGCCCTCCCCCCATCCACACGGACCCCTGTGTAATGGAGGTCACACCTCGGAACCCTAGTCTGAGGGACGGACATGGCTTTGAGTCTGGGGCTTGGAGAGAAGATGTGGTTCCCAGTTCAGCAGGAAAGGGTTTCCTTGCCCTAGTCCGACGGGGACGACACAGACCCCTAGTCCGATGAAGGCTCCAATCTGATGGAGGAGGCATAGGCCAGTCTGAAGGAGACTGATGTTCAGTCCAGTGAGCAAGACTGATGTTCAGACCAATACTCTCAGTCCTAAATGTGGTGCCAATGTTGGGGGGCCCAGACTGATGGAGGGGTGTGATGGCTTCAATCATAAAGGGCGTGGCTGCATTAGAGGAGCCACTCCTCGGGGTGTGGGACTGGAGACGAACACCCTGGGCAGAATGGGGTCCTCAGTCTGAGAAAAGGGAGGAATCCGGCCACACCGAGACGGATGGAGGAGGCCATGCCCAGAGCTCATGGTCGAGCAAAACAAGGCTCCCAGGCTGATAGCAGAGACTGGCCTGGTCCTCAGGGCCCCTCCCCTGGCCTTGAGGGAGGCCTGCGGGCGTCAGTGGGTCTGACGGCTCCTGTCCTCCTGCCCCCTCCCCCAGGGGTCTGCCAGGTGGACAAGCAGAACCGGGCTGGCTACAGCCCCATCATGCTCACCGCCCTGGCCGCCCTCAAGACCCAGGATGACATCGAGACGCTCCTGCAGCTCTTCCGGCTCGGAGACGTCAACGCCAAAGCCAGCCAGGTAGGCCCCGGGGCACTGCAGACCGGGGCAGCCCTTCCTGGTTACCAAGTCCTGGCTGTGCGCCAAGCCCAAACGTGACCTCGTTTCATGCCCAGGGGGAGTCCCTGCTCCACAGACAAGGAAACTGAGGCTCAGAGGAGCAGAGTCGTTTTCTCAAGGTCAAACTAGAGGAGGGGCTTTGAACCAAGGGGGTCTGGCTCCAGAGCCCCATTCTTGTGCCCTTCCCCAGCAGGTGCAGCACCTTCTGGGGGAAGTGGGTGGGGACGGGCGAGGACATGGGGGTCCCCAGCCTTTCTTCACCCGACACCGTCCCGCATGCTGCTGGGTAGTGCGTTGGGCAGCAGGTGGAAGCCAGAGGCTCAGAGGGTGGGCCAGCAGGCACGGGCCCCACACTCCTGGAGCTCACAGGCCAGTGGGGGCAGGAGCCACTCGCATTCAGGCAGCACGGCGGCTTGGAGGGGATTTGGACTCGGGCTGCAGAGCGCCACTAGAGGCGTTCCGTCAGGGCAGGGTGCGGCCCACTTTCTGATTTGAAATCTCCCTTCAGCTGCATGTTGGGGAGCAGAAGCCGGATGACTCTGAAAGCCACAGGGGTGTGGACAGGATCCAGGCAGAGGAGCAGGGCAGCCAGGACACCGAGGGACAGCCAGGGAGGGGACTGAACAGCACAGACGCCCTGAAGGGAAGGAGCAGGGCGCTGCGATGTGCATGCAGGAGCAGACCTCTTGCTCTTTTTTATTGGTTTCAGTGAGGAAGGGGGAGGGGGAGAGAGAGAGAAACATCAATGATGAGAGAGAAGCATTGATCGGCTGCCTCCTGCACGCCCCCTACTGGGGATCAAGCCCGCAACCTGGGCATGTGCCCTTAACCGGAATGGAATCCGGGACCCTTCAGTCCACAGGTCAGTGCTCTATGCACTGAGCCAAACCAGCCAGGGCTGGTTTACTTTTTTTAATTGAGGTGAAATGCACACATTCCCCTTTTAAAGTGCACAGTTCAGTGGCATTTAGTATATTTACAGTGTTGTGTAATCATCACTATCTTTACTTCCCAAACATCCCCATCACCCCTAAAGGAAACCCTGCACCCATTAGCAGTCACTCCCCTTCTCCCTCCCCCAGTCTGCTTTCTGCCTCTGGATTTGCCTGTTGTGGGTATTTCATACAAACGGAGTCAGGTAGCATGTGCCCTTTAGTGTCCAGCTTCTTTCACCGAACATAATGTTTTCAAGGTCCGTCCCTGGTGTAAGATGCAGGGTGTGGTACTTCGTTCCTTTTTAAGACTGAATAATATTCTGTTTGTTTATTGCTCACCTGCTGGTGAACACTGATTTAATTTTTATAAAGGTTCAACTGACATACAGAAAAGTGTACAAATCTTAGTGTCATACATTGTTACCTGTTTACACCTGTGAGTTAGGCGCCTGCTTTCGGTGGGCGTGGGGTGAGGAGACGAGTGGCATCTCCCTGAGGAGGAGACATTTAAGCTGAGACCTGAGGGGCGAGTGAGACAGGAAGGGGGAGGGACCAGCCAATGCCCAGGCCCCGTGGGGGGAGGACTGTTTGAGATACAGACGGAGGCCAGCAAGTGGGGCGCTGTTAGCAGCGGGTCACTCGGGAGCCACGACAGGTTCCGGAGCAGGGGCCGTGCCTCGGAGGACGTGGTGCAGCAGCCTTTGCTTATCCTGGGCAGGCAGGGCAGACGGCCCTGATGCTGGCCGTCAGCCACGGGCGCGCGGACGTGGTGAAAGCCTGCTGGCCTGCGAGGCGGACGTCAATGTGCAGGACGATGACGGCTCCACGGCCCTCATGTGCGCCTGCGAGCACGGCCACAAGGAGATCACGGGCCTGCTGCTGGCTGTGCCCAGCTGCGACATCGCGCTCACTGACCGCGTGAGTCAGCACTCAGGTGCCCCTCGGGGCGGGCGGGGGCTCGGTGCCAGGCGTCCTCATAGCAGCCATGCTTTGCAGGACGGGAGCACGGCTTTGATGGTGGCCCTGGACGCAGGGCAGAGCGAAATTGCGTCCATGCTGTACTCCCGCATGAACATCAAGTGCTCGGTGAGTCTCAGCCCTAGCAGGATGTTGCGGGAGGAGGGTGCAGGGGAGCAGGGCGGGGGCCTGGGAGGGGACAGATGTTTATGAAGAGCCGATGGCGTATGGGTCCTGAGCCAGGGACTTAGTAGTCATCTGCTTGTTGAACCTTCATGGTGCCCCGTGAGGCCATGAGTCACTGAGAGCTGAGACTGTGTGGTCATGGTCGACATCTCGGTATTTGAACCCAGACCTATCTGTTGCTCTTTAAATTATTTAAAAATATATTTTTATTGATTTCAGAGAGGAAGGGAGAAGGATAGAAACATCAATGATGAGAGAGAATCACTGACCGGCTGCCCCTTGCACGCCCCCTACCCAGACATGTGCCCTGACTGGGAATTAAACTGACCTTCTGATTCACAGGTCAACGCTCAACCACTGAGCCACACCAGCCAGGCCAAATGCATGTTCTTAATCACCATTCACTCATTTGAGAAATATTTACAGAGCCCTGACTGTCTCTGGCCCTCATCTAGGCCCTGGCAACCAGCACTGAACAAAACAGAAAAAACGCTTCTGCCCATCATAGAGCAGACATTCTAATAAAAGACAAAATAAAGCAAATTGGTGTAGCATAGCCAGGGGATGGTACGTGCTGGGAAGAAATATAAACCAGGATGTGCGGGACAGTGAGTGACGGAGGAGCGACTTGAGACCTTCATGAAACTGACGCTTGAGCCAACACTTGAGGAAGTGAGGGAGCAAGTGTGTGGCTCTCCAGGCAGAAGGAACAGACAGTGCGAAGGCCTGAGGCAGGGGCTTTCCTGTGTGCGTGAGGGGCATCACGGAGCCCCAGCGGGAAGACATGAGGGCAGAGAGGTGATGCCACAGATCACGCAGGGCCTGTGGGCACCGTGGGGCTTTGGGTTTCACTGTGAGCGTGTCCGTGTGCAGAGGCCTTGAGAAGTCTCACTGTAAAGAAACCCAATTTAACTGTGTTTAACCCAGCATCTCTCTTATGGACCACAGAAACCTGAGGTGTTTTTTAAAAAAAAGCTTGCCTAGCAAAACACTCTTCCAGACACAATAGGAGGATAATACTGACACCAGCTGTGTCCTGGTGCCTGTGGAGGAAAAAGCCCTTCCAGTCTGATGGGGGAGACAGTCCTTCCAGTCTGATGGGGGAGACAGTCCTTCCAGTCTGATGGGGGAGACAGTCCTTCCAGTCTGATGGGGGAGACAGTCCTTCCAGTCTGATGGGGGAGACAGGGCGGTCCCTGTAAGCCTCACAGCGATTCTCCGTGTGGTGGAGGAGACAGTATGCTGAGTGCCTACTGGGTGTGATTGCTTGAACCTTCCACAGTAACCTGATTCGTTTGCATAAAGTACTATTATTATTTTCTACTCAGTTTTTCCAGGTGGGGAGGTGGAGGCTTAGAATGGTTACATCCTTGGTTCAAGGTCTCACAGCCAGGAAGGGGCAGGGGCCCCAGGGTCCTTCTGACTCTAGACCTTGGGCAGGAGCCTCACTGCCCCCGCCCCCGCTCACCCCCACCTGCACTGGCCCCAGCTGCCCCGAAGCGTATCCGGGTTCGGGTTCAAGGGTAGCATCGTGGGTGTCAACCCCGGCAATTCCCGAAAGGTCCGAGAGAGGGAGGTTGCAGACAGGCCGTCCGTCTCCGCCTGGCTCCCAGGTTCTCCTGAGGCTTCGAGCTTTTCTGGCTCAAGGGCACCCACCCGGCCTCAGTGTGATGCTCAGGATCCCCTGGGGACCCGCTTTGGACTCAGTTTCCTCAACTGGAAGATGGGGGCGATGGGGCTGGAGATGGCTCAGTGTCTGATCTGTGCTCCTGCCCCCAGGGACTCTGAGGCAGGAACCCCAATCCTCTCTGTCCACCTGGACCACTGCCACAGCCTCTGCCTCCCCCACCCTCACTGCCCCTCACTCTTGCTCTCCCCACAGCAGCCAGAGGTCAGTGCGGACACCTGAGTCAGCACTCAGACCTCTCTGGCTCCCACCTCCATTGGAGAAAAAGCCAGTCATCCTTAAAGCCCATCAGCTCCACCCCCTCCCCCTCCACCCCCCCTCCCGTCGCTCCCTCAGCTCCAGCCTCACCAGCCTGACCCCTGCTCCGCCTCAGGGCCTGGGCACTGGCTCTCTCTTCTGCCGGCAATGCCTGCTCTGCCCCCTTGGCCGGCCCCTCCCCGACCACCCGCTGTCACTGTCATTCCCTTCCCACCAAGCATCCCTGGTGAGACTCCTCCACTGCGTTTATTTGTTTGCTTCTTGGAGGCATCTCCCCCGTCACGTGGCCTCCTCGAGGCCAAGGGATCCCAGCCTCTTGTTCACTCACCGCAGCCGCTGGGCCGGCCAGCAGAGCCGGCGCCGCGGAGGCAAGGATGCCAAACAAGGAACTGTGCTTCTCGTTTCAGTTTGCCCCGATGTCAGATGACGAAAGTCCTGCATCGTCCTCCGCGGAAGAGTAGCCATGAGGGGGGACCAGAGGCGCCTCCCCTCTGAGGCCCGTCAGCCCCAGAGCGAACTGTCCCTCCTCCCTTGTTCCTGGTCCCGGCCTCCTCCCTGGCCAACCCCATCAAACCCACCAAGGCCTCAGTCCCAAAGGCAAGTGGGTTTCTCCTGCTTCCCAGCAGTGACAAGACTCCAGCTAAGGCGGGCTTTTCCCGTCCCCAGTTCAAAGCAGCCACAGTGCAGACCGGAGCTACGTTCTCGTAGGAACTGGCGCCAGTGGCCGATGCTGGCGTGGGTTTATGGAGAACACAGAACAATCGACTGGCAGTGATGGATGGAGGCGGGCGAGAGGGAAACGCATTGTATTTTGGAATCACCATCGGGGAAGGGGGGAATCATTACTTGTTGCCAAATCTGAAAGTCACTGGAAATGCATATTTTCATTTTAATCTTGAGTGTTATTACTCACGGGTGGCGTCTGGAGTGGCTTAACTCCCCTTGGCCCCCCACATGTAATTGTCTGGTATGTAATAGTGTTTTGTCCACTCCCCAGACAGCTTTCTTGGGGGAATTTTGGTCTCTTCACAAAACGGATTCTGTCCCTGCCACCTGGAGTAGGAAATTTAGCCCTTTCTTCTGCTCAGGTCTCTTCATCGTTCAGGTCGGGGGGAGCCTCAGGACTCAGCAGCCCAGAGGTGTGAGCAGTTCATATCAAGAAATTACCCCAACCCGGCCCCTCCCCACATGGAGGCCCCAGCAAATATTAATTTTCCTAGAAAATCCTTCAGACCTGGAGACACAGGAAATGAATCCTGTTCCCAGAGTGGCTGCTGAGTCCCTGGGCTTCGAACCCAGGTTACGGGCCGTCCAGATCCTCCTCAGGCTCCAGAATTTCTCTCTTCAAAGGAAAGAAAACAGGCCATGTGTGTGTTGGCAGCGCCTGGGGCCGGCTCCAGGAACCCCATGTGTGCACAATTAAAAATTGGCTGCCCCCAGAGGGCTCCCAGCGCAAACTTAAAGAGGCAGGGCCTTGCAGAAAACCAAACAAGGGCCAGCTGGGGTTTTTTTGTGTGTGTTTTTTTAACCTACAGGCTTTCCGGAGCTGCCTGGAGCAGAGCCTGCTGGACTGGGGCTCGCCAGACACTCACAGTTTCCTTAATGGCCTGTTTTGTTCCCAGGACCTCAGCAGAGTTTTCTTTCCTTTTCCTTCCTTCTGTGAACCAAAAAAAGAAAAGGGATAGGCTGCGAGCCTCCGAAAGTGCCTCTGTGGCAGGGGAGTGAGACCCCTGGCTAATAGGTGTCCTGCCTTCCGGCCAGTTGGCAGCCCCACTGCCAGGGTCGGAGCCAGGCCACGGAGGAGGGAGCGGGCCCTGAGTGCCCACGTGTCCATTCAATAAAGCGGAACGCTGGCTTCTCTCCTACAGATGGAGTCTGGCTTGCTTTGATTTTGAAGGGATCAAAATCTTTTTTATTTTGTACCTAAGACAAAAGAGCTTGCTTGCATGGTCAAAGGAGGGAGGCACCCCGGAGGGAGAGAGAGAGAGAGAGTGTGTGTGTAAGTTGGAGAGAAAAAACCAAAGCTGCTTGAGGATGTCCACGGTATTTGATGGAAGGCTGCAGCTCTGAGCAGCGGTACCGTGTTGTGTGCCTGTGTGTCCTGGCCCGGAGCCAGCGGGTGCGTTTATTTTAAGCTCCTACAAGCAGCTCACTGACACCATATTTGTCCCTGTTCCCCTCTCCCCTGCTTGGCATGGAGGCTACAGGGGGTCCTGCCTTTGTCCCCATTCTCTTCTCACGTGTATTCATGACCTTAAACTTTCCAACCACGGTACGTCCATAAAGACAGTATTACGCTTAAATGAAGTATTCTTTTTTGTAATCATTTTTTAGACGGTAAAGAAATTTAATAAAGCTACTTTATGATAATGCCAATATCTGTCTGATTGTTGTCTCGGTGTGTGCCTCTTTAAGTTTTAAAATAGATACTTTTTTGCCCTAGCTGGTTGGCTCAGTGGATAGAGCATCGGCCTGCGGACTGAAGGGTCGCAGGTTCAATTCCAGTCAAGGGCATATGCCTGGGTTGCGGGCTCCTACCCCAGTAGGGGGCATGCAGGAGGCAGCCAATCAATGATTCCCTCTCATCATTGATGTTTCTATCTCTCTCCCTCTCCCTTCCTCTCTGAAATCAATTTTAAAAAATTATAATTTACTTATTTTGAACAATGTTCAAAGCTACAGAAAAGTGACAAGACTGTTATAATAAACTCCCTTAGGCTCTGTCCTATACTGTAGCCACTAGCTACACGTGGCTGTTTCCAACTAAATATGAATTACTTATAATTAACTTGTGCCCGGTGGCTATTATATTGGCCTCCAGAGGTAGAAAACATTGCCATTGTGGCAAAAAGTTCTAACAAAGACGCACAGTGAAGACCTCAAACGAAATCTTTACAGATTGCGTTTCCTCGTGACAGAATAACTCGTAGCAATTGTAAAAGGCAACATTCAAACAATACAGAAATGCTTGGCATAGTGGAGGGTGCCGTGGTCCACTTAGTGTGAACACCTTCCGTGTCAACAGTTTGGAATATCTCCTACCAAACCTTTTTTCTAAAATGATTTGCTGTTTCATTTTTTGAGATACAACATACATACATGTTGTGCACAAGTCTGTTAGGGCTGCCGAAGGAGGAACGCACGAGGCCAAAGTGGTGAGGAATTATCCATGCATTAGGTCATCTGGAAACCCAGATGAGCTGAGCCCCCACATGGCACCAGCACCCAGGGACAAGGTTTCAGAGATCTTAAAGGGCTCTAGGCGGGCTTTTCCTGGGCGGGTCTTAGCAAATGGAATGTCGGTTGTGAAATGGCCTAAAGGTCAGTTCCCAGGGGAGGGGGTATCCATTCAATTATTTGATCAGACCTGACAAAGTCATGCACAAAGCACATGGCTCCCTGGCTTTTCACAAACCGAACACCCTCGCATCACCAGCACCAGGACAGGAAGTGGAGCAGCCTGGACTGCCCCCAACCCCTGACCGTCCAAAGGTGATTGATGGTTGCTCTCCTGACTTCTCACTTCCTCTGTTTTACCTCTGGATTGTTCAACCAGGAGAGAATGGGTGGGTTTCGGAGGTTTTAGGAAGTCCCAGGAATTTTATGCAGAGTCGTGTATTTCTGAGGGGAAGGTCCACTGCGCTTGTCAGTTTTTCAGGGGGGGTTGTGAGCCAAGAAGGGGCCTTTGGAACATTTTTTAAAAAATTGTTTCTCTTGCCCTGGCTGGTTTGGCTCAGTGGGTGGAGTGTCACCTGCGGACTGAAGGGTCCCAGGTTCTATTCCGGTCAAGGGCACATGCCCGGGTTGTGGGTTCAATCCCCAGTAGTGGGCGTGCAGGAGGCAGCCAATCAATGATTCTCTTTCATCATTGATGTTTCTATCTCTCTCTCTCTCTCTCTCTCCCTTCCTCTCTGAAATCAATAAAAATATTTTTTTTTAAAAAAAAAAGATTGCCCTAGTTGTTTAAAAAAAAAGATTGTTTCTCACAAGTAATGGCCCAGGACCATTTTGTCCTCTTTGCTAATCTTGTTCAGCTAATGCTTAAGAACCCATTCCCCACCACCACCCAGTTTCTAGCTTTAATTTTTAAAAAATATTTTTTTATTTATTTTAGGAAGGAAGAGGGGGAGAGATAGAAACATCAATGATGAGAGAGAATCATTGATTGGCTGCCTCCTGCAGCCCCCACACTGGGGATCAAGCCCACAACCCAAGTGGCATGTGCCCTGACGGGGAATAGAACCACGACCTCCTGCTTCATAGCTTGATAACCACTGAACCATGCCCACCAAGCTAATTTTTTTTAATACATGATTTTTTTGGTTAATCCTTACCTGAGTATATTTTTCCATTGATTTTTTTAGAGAGAGTGGAAGGGAGCTGGGGAGAGAAAGAGAGAGACACATTGGCCCACTCCCAAACATGCCCTGACCCGGGCCAGGGAATGAACCTGCAATCCAGGTGCAAGCCTTTGACCGGGAAATCAAACCCACAGCCCTTGGGTGCCCAGGTGGATGCTCCAACCACTGAGCCACACCAGCCAGGGCAATATATGATTTTTTCCCTGCAATATATGATTTTTAAATATGTTTTTATTGATTTAAGGGAGAGGAAGAGAGGGGTAGAAACCACCCAGTTTCTTGCTTTATTTGATGAGAGAGAATCATTGATCAGCTACTTCCTGCACACCCTCTACTGGGGATCGAGCTTGCCGCCAGGGCATGTGCCATGACCTCCTGGTTCATGGGTCGGCGCTAAACCATTGAGCCACACTGGCTGGGCTAAGCCATTTTTAAGTTTCAGTTAGGTACATTCACATTGTTGTGCAGCCATCACCACCACCCATTTCCAGGACTCTTTATCTTCCTAAACTGAAACTCTGTCCCCATTAAACATTAACTCGTCACCCCCCCACCCCCAGCTCCAGGCACCATTCTTTCTGTCTCCATGAATTTGCCTGCTCTAGGGACCTCACATCAGTGGAACCATACAGGATTTGTCCTCTGTGTCTGGCTGATTTCACTTAGCATAATATCCTTAAGATCCATCCGTGTTGTAGCATATGGCAGAATGCCCTTCCCTTTTTAAGACGGAATAATATTTCATAGTATATACATACTACACCTTGTTTATCCATTCATCCAACAATAGACACCTGATTGCTTCTACCTCTTGGCTACTGTCAGTGATGCTGGTGTACATATGCAGGCGCAGGGTAGGTGATAGACTGGGAGGGTCGGACCAGACCTGGGTTGAGCGACCTTGCTACGCGAGTTCTGGCTAGGAAAGATTTCAGAGCAAGGCTCGCACCATAGGAGAACATTTATTTGGAAATTCACAGAGGTAGAAGCAACTCCTAGACGAAACGGGCTTAGGAAGCAAGTGATAGAGGGAAAGGAGGAGCCTTGGGAGCTTGGGAGTGAGGAAGCCAATGGTAACGTGAGGCAGAAAGGGAGGGGAAAGCGAAAAACAAACAGCATAGGCAAGCTCCTGGGAGGAGAGTGAGCTGTAGCCTCAGTCCTAAGGGTTTTGAGGGTGAAGATGTTAGGGGAGGTGCCAGGGGAAGATCTTAATAGAATATTCATCAGCTTTCCAGTGTGTCCTTGCAGGTCAAGGTCTCCAGGGATTCATTCTCCAATGCAGTTGGTCCTGAGGCCAGCCTTGGGGTCGCTGGTCTGGTTTTGCTGCTTTTCTGGGCCTGGAGCTGAACTACAACTGAGGCCTAGATGTTATCTCTAGGCAGGAGATGTTATCTCAAGGTCAGGGGGGGGAGGGGGCGGGTCCAAACCACCAGGGGACCATTGCTGTGCTAGGGGAGGAAATGTCACCCGGTGAGAGCCCACCTGACAATCGTCTTTTGCTGGGCACCTAGGGCTTTCCGTCTTGGTGACCTTCTGTGTTCTGTGCCTGGTCCATCCTCCTTGCTCTGCTCATGTCTACCTGCCTACCACACATATCTCTTCAAGTTCCAGCTTTCAATTTGGGGGGTATATCCTTAGAAGTGAAATTGCTAGGTCATACAGTAATTCTTTGTAATGGGGGGAGGCTGCTATATTGTTTTCTTTTTTTATTTATTTAAATTCTTTATTGTTGTATATTGTTTTCCATCGTGGCTGCACCATTTTACATTCCCACCAACAATGACAAGGGTTCCAAGGGTTTTGACTTCTTCACATCCCTGCCAACACTTATTTTCCATTGTTTTGTTTTTCATCCTCACTGGAGGACATGTTTATTGATTTTAAAGAGAGGGAGGGAGGGAGAGAGAGAGAGAGGGGAGAGAGAGAGAGAGAGAGAGAGAGAGAGAGAGAGAGAGAGGAGAGAGAGAGAGAGAAATGTGAAAGAGACACATCAACTAGCTGCCTCTCACACACACCCCAACTGGGGTCGAACCCGTAACCTATGTGCCCTGACCCGGGATCAAACCCATGACCTTTTGGTGTAGGGGGATGGTGCTCCACCAACTGAGCCACACTGGCCAGGGCTTGCTTGCCTTTTTTTAAATAGTAGTCATCCTACTGGCTGTGAAGTGGTTCTAACTTTGCTTTTTGGAGGAGAGGTGAGTGGCCTTTTTTGACCAGAGCATTTATATCTGTCAGGCTATGGTTGTGCAATTTCAAATGGCTTTTATCTCTTGAACACCCCCTTCCCCCCTACCCCCCAACCCCCCACTGATAAGAGAGCTATCATTAGCCCATGGCTTAGAAAGGTTAAGAACTTGCCAAGGTCACAGGTAAACTGCAGAGCCAGAAACCAAATCCCAGGCCTTATCTCCTCATTATTTCATCCTGCCTGTTAAGTAATCCACCCCACTGCCTTCAGGCACAGAAGGTGAGCTCCTGCCACCAAAGGTCACACAGCTGATGGTGACAGAGCCATGTCATCATCCAATGCTCAGCCACCAGGAGGGTGAGCAACACTGGCCTTGAGTGCTGACTCTGGGGACCAGGCTCCAGGCCCAGACACCAGACACCAATATTTCTGCAGGAAATAACTCAGGTGCCGAGGCGTCTTTTATAGATATTCCTGCCGATTGTTAGAAAGGAAGGGAGAAGTAGAGAGAAACATCGATGTGAGGGTGGGATATCAATTGCGCTGCCTCCTGCGTGGCCCTACTGGGGATCCAGGCTGCAACCACAACCCAGGCATGTGCCCTGACCAGGAATGGAACCTGTGACCTCTTGGTGCACGGAATGACACTCAACCAACTGAGACACACCGACCAGGGCAGGTGTCATGACTTCTAAATCTTCTAGCTGGTCCATGAGACAAAGGCTGGGGAGCTTCTTAACCCCAAAAATCTGGGGATGGTCTTCTGGGGTCCTAAACTCTCTTCCTCTTTTTATACATCCAGTCAGCCCGAAAGTTCTCTCGAT